GCAAAATCCCCCTTCCCTCCCCACCCCACTAACCTGCTTTCCAGCTCACTTCTCCTGTGCAGGGAAACCAAAGGAGACCCAGCCGATCAGCTGGGACTCAATGGGAGGCGGAGAAGAGATGGGGGTGGGGCTAGTCAGAGGTGGAATTTGCTGGTTCTCCAAACTACTCCAAATTTCCACTACCGGTTCTCCAGAACTGTTCCGAACCAGCTGAATACCACCTCTGCTTCCCAAACATTTTCCTTTATTACCCTCCAAACTGCTCCTCTGAAAGTGCTATTGAACTTCAAGCTTCAGTTTTAAGTCCCTTCCTTCAGCACTGTCATTAAATTCAAATGGTCCCTGAACGGTCATAACACGAGGACTACCTGTATTATTTTAAAAAAAACAGTCTCCCTGAATGATCTTTACATAATTTCAACAAATTGCCATGGATAACTTCATTGATTTTCATCTTAATATAATTCTTTGGGAGGATTTTCAATATATTGTAGTGCACCTGTTTAATTAAAAAGTACTTCATGTGTTTAAGTGTTTAATGAAAAGAAAGACCAGGGGTGACAGGACAGCAGTGTGCCAATATTTGAAGGGCTGCCCCAAAGAAGAGGGGGTCAAGCTATTCTCCAAAGCCACCAGAAGCAATGGACAAGAAGCAATGGGTGGAAATTAATCAAGGAGAGAAGCAACCAGGGAATAAGGAGGAATTTCCTGACAATTAGAACTATTAATCAGTGGAATTGCTTGTCTCCAGAAGTTGTGGGTGCTCCAACACTGGAGGTTTTGAAGAAAAGATTGGACAACCATTTGTCTGAAATGCCCAAAGAAAAAACACATGTTTTATACATGTTTTAAGACGCACACATCCCCGCCACCCAGGCTCTGATCTCTCAGCTAGAATTCCATATGAGGCTCTTCAGATTTTCAAAGGGAAACGCCGAGAATTGTGAAGCCTCAATGCATCTAGAAGAGAGCAGGATTCCTCTTTTGGGGTTATTTTGTGCAAGAGTCCAAAGCTCCCCTCATATTTTGCTTCTGTTATTTCAACCAGCAGAAACACACGTCACAAAATCTGCATTGCTGTGGGTAGGTTCCTCCGGAGTTGGGAGGGAGGAACAGATTGAAGGCACCTGTTCTCTCGCAACAGCTGGCTGGAGGGATTCTCCATCTTTTATTAGACTCAGCTAATAGTTCCCCCCAACACACAAACACACACAGCCTCTCTCTGTGTGTGTCTCTCTGTTGTGTTGGATCGAAGCCTACAGCGACTGCAAGGACACAAACAGGGAGAAGAGAATCAACAGGGAAAGCCATCCGCAGATGCTAGCTGTAGCCGCATCGTCCAACGTATTCATGAAGCCAAGCATCCGTCCGCTGTTACTTATTTATAAGGAGAATGCGTGCCATACCATTCTTTCAAAATCAAATCAGATCATCTCTAACAATGCCAGTAAAAAATAAATAATAAGATTTGACTGAAGAAGCCAAGAGAGATCTAGAAAAGAGTGTGGAAAAGCTTGGTAGATTTCTGTGAAGGGATTCAAATAATATCCAATTGCTTGAATGAAGGCCAAGGAACTTAACTTGATTTTAATTGGTATTATGGGTTAAGTGGACACTGAATCGAAGAACAGTAGCTGAACCCAGAATAACAGAGTTGGGAGGGACCTTGGAGGTCTTCTAGTCCAGCCCCTTCTCAAGAAGGAGACCCTATGCCATTTCAGATAAATGGCTGTCCAATCTCTTCTACTACTACTCTACTCTACTATTAGTCTTCAGAAGACTAGTACATCAGTTATTTAGATATTCCCTCTATCTTTGAAACAGCTTTGTCTATTTTTCTATGGATTTTTGGGTTCTTGTTTGTAAACTGCTCGGAGTCACTTGGGTGAGATAGGCAGTGTATAAATTTCATTAATGAATATATTTTTGTGGGAGGGCAAATGTCCCCACTAACCCCATCTAAATACAGGATATATTGACACTTAGACAAATGGACGTAGATCATGCAACCACAATAAACTACTAGATTTAAAATAATCCAGACATAATAGTTTCTAAATCATCCTGGTCTTAAGGACTCTCTAGTCTTGGATTTCAAGTAGTTGCAAAATTGGAATGGAATAGCCGAAGCTTTTTTTAAAAAAATCAGTAGGTAGGAAATCCTCTAAAGCAAAGGTGGGCAACTCTGGGCCCTCCAAGACCTGTGGACTTCAACTCCCAGAATGCCTGAGCCAGCCCTAGCTCTAACCCTAACCCTAACCTATGCTGGCTCAGGCATTCTGGGAGTTGAAGTCCACAGCTCGTAAAGGGACCAGAGTTGCTCTAAAGCAATGTTTTCTCTCAACAATGGCAGCTTGAAGATGTATGGACTTCAACTCCCAGAATTCCCCAGCCAGACATTGGACTACAACGATCTTAATCCCAATAAACCCAAGCAGAGCTTCAGCAAATATTTGTTAGAGTTAGTATAGCTTTATATTCCCATAGCGTTTTATAAATTCTCATATTATTTCTCCGGCTACAGTCCTCTTAAATTGAACAATCTGAAATATTAATAAATAAACCCATTTTCTTCTCCTGCAGTGTTGACCACTCATTTATCTGTCAAACATCCCATTCTTTATCTAGCTGTCCAAGAGATTAAGATACCTCAAAAAAATTCGGTAAGGCAAGACAATTTCCAAGCCACGATGCACAGGACCAAGATATTAGCTTTGAGGAGACAAAATTGCAATTTTTATAGACCTGTCCATTAACAGTGAGTGCTTTTGGTGTTTTATCACAATGGGATTTCCCCACGCCATAAAGATGGTGCTTCAAAGACGTGTAAGAGCCAACTTAATTGACTGAATGTCCCATTGATTACAAAGAGCTTTCAACTCTTCTTCGGAAACACTGGCTAGGAAAGCAACCTTAACCTATCCATTAATGGGTGTTGGAATTTCCAATGTAGGTTTTACTCAAAGTTTAAGAGGAAAGTAAGGGAGGAGGTTGAATTCTAAAGTATGGTTCAATATTTGAAATGATCCAAGAACTAAAGAATTTTCTGTCTGAGACAGTAAAACTAAACTGTCCAAGAAATAATTCCAGAAGTTCTTCTAATGCTTGAGGTTCTCCAAAGATGGCAAATTATTAGACTGAAGCAGGACCAATTAAGGCATATAAAATATGGACATTATAGAAATCTAGGTCATAGGTTAGAACCAACTCAGGGTCACATTTACTTCTGTATTTTGTTTGTTGCGAAAATAAGGAACTTATATTTTAAGGAAGTAAAGCTCTGCTTCTCTTGCAACTAAGGATGGGAATGGAAAATTACTGTTGGTGTAAGATAACAGAATAAGCAAGAAAAACATATCCTCTTTTTGTGTTCCTGCCGTAACACAGGATATTGCATTTATCTGTCCTAAGATGCGTGTATAATCAGTTGACCGTAATTTGTGAAA